AAGATGGGGCCAAACATGCAATCGTCCTATGCCTATACTAGGGAACCGTATGCTATCATTGAAGCGGTGCATAAATGGCGCCAATATCTGCTGGGCCGCCACTTTAATATATACACGGATTAACACAGCCTGTAGCACCTTTTAACCCAGGTAATCCAAACCCCCGATCAACATAAGTGGGTTGCAAAGCTACTAGGCTTCGACTTTGAGATCTTATACAAACCGAGTCGAGAAAATAAAGTTGCTGATTCCCTAAGTCGCATTGAGGACCCACAACATATGTCACTCACAACCCCCACCTTCCCATGGCTTGAAGATATCCGACGACACTACTCCACCACAACCGAGGGTCTCCAGTTTCTTCAACAACTAGCTTCCTCCCCACATCAATTCCCACACTACCGTGTCCATGATGGCTAAGTCTACCATGCCGGCCGAATTGTTATTCCTAACGTCTCTGATCTCCGTCGTAGGGTCACCACTGAGCACCATGCCACTCCACTCGGTGGCCACTCCAACAACAACCGACACTACGTCGCCTCTCTTCTTCCTTCTATTGGCCACGAATGACAGAATCAATCAGAGAGTTCATCAAGTGTTGCCCCACATGTCAACAGGTTAAATATGTAACTCATAAGCCATACGGTCTCGTGTAACCCTTACCAGGTTTGGGATGACCTAGCCATGGACTTTATTACCAAATTTCCGCCATCACAGGGGAAGACCACCATCCGGGTCATCGTCGATAAGCTATCTAAAAGTGTACATTTTGTTGGATTGCCACCAAACTACACCGCGGTCACATTACCCACTCATTTCCTCCATACCGTTTACCGTCTTCATGGATTGCCACATTCCATCATCTCCAACTGCGACCCTTTATTCCTCAGTCGTTTTTGGCAAGAATTATTTAAAAAACTAGGCATGACTCTTCGGCACTCTAGCGCTTACCACCCCCAAAATGACGGCTAATCGGAGGTGGTTAACCACTGCCTCGAGTCATATATGCGTTGTTTCGCCAGTGACGAACCCACTACTAGGCATCGCTACCTCTACTTGGCGGAATACTGGTACAACTCCACCCACCACAGCTCCATTGGAATGTCGCCTTTCCAGGCACTTTATGGAAGACCACTACCAGCTCTCCCAGATTACATTGCAGGGTCCTCCACCATCGCGTCCATCGATGGCACACTACTTACTCATAGTTGGCTCTTGGATCAACTAAAAGCCAACCTGGCTGCCTCACAAGCATGCATGACCAAAAGTGCCAACAAACATCGAGTAGCAAAAGACTTTCAACCAGGTGAATGGGTATATGTCAAACTCCGCATTTACCGACAAACCTCAGTCGCCAATCGCCAATCTCACAAATTAGCCCGTCGATACTTTGGTCCGTTCAAGATAGCAGCCAAAATCGGACAAGTTGCTTACCGACTGGAACTTCTTGTCGGTAGTCGGATCCATCTTGTGTTCCACGTCTAGCTCCTCTTCACTTGATGGCAATGGACGACAACCCGGTCATGCTACCTGCTTCCATCATCCGTTTTAGACCATCCGGTCCCCCTGACTCCGACCAACATCAAGTTTTGGTACATTGGCAAGGCTGCGATTCTAGTGAAGCTACTTGGGAAGACCTCACTAAGTTTCAAAACAATTACCCAATCTTTTAGGGCTCCAATAAACCAGACACCACCACTCACAACCTGGAGGACAAGGTCGATGTTCTCCTGGCCGGCATTGATAGCAACATCATTTAAAGAGCCCACATCACAACAGACAGGCCCAAACGTAATTGGACTATACCAGCCCGTTATCGTGATTAAGAAGAAGGATTCGACTACAAGTCATTAGTCAATTTCTTTGTTTGAGTCAATTAGGATTAGGTCAACCAACAGGGCCGGTCCAAAAAGAAAAAAAAGGGCCCCTTAAAGACAAATATAATAAAGATTCAAAAAAAATATCATTTATTTTTCACTATAAACGCATTCAATTAGCAATAACAAGCATGCCAAATTGTTTATCTTTTGAGCTAGTTTGATTTTGAACCAACTTTAAGCCCTAAAAATCATTTAGGTAATAATTTTTTATATATATGCATTACATAGCCCATAAATTTTGGGGCCCCTGGTGACGTGGGCCTTGAGCGGTCGCCCAGGTTGTCCACTGTCTGGACTGGCCCTGTCAACCAATAAAGCATGTGTCCTTTAAAAAGGCTTGCACGTTAGTTTCCCATGTTCCTTTTAATTCTCCTTTTCTTATGCCAGTAGACTTAGTTATAGGAATGCATACTTGAAGCTTTTACTTCTCAAGTATTTAAGTGTAAATAGATTATCAGAAAATTGCTCCAAGCTTTATCTCTTCTTATTCTTTTGGGAGTCTCGCCAGCTCAAATTGGCTATCAACATGCCTCTCTAAAAGTAGCATGTTCGTTTTCTTTTGCCATACAGATTTCTACAAATGACTTCGGAACTTCGATTGTATTTAAAAGTTTTCACAAAAAAAATATGTTTCATCAAGGTTAGGAGAAACTGTATGAATTCTACCGATCGAAAATCCATTTTGTCTTGACTCCCAACGAAGCTCTAGAAATCTCCATACACATTTCATAGGAAATTGAACATAATAACGTTTTCGTTATAAAGAAAATTATGTTATTGTTTAGGTTGAATTAAAAGTATGTGGTGTTTTAGATTAAGTAAACTTATATTGTTATTTTGGTATAAAAATAAAATAACATTATTTTATTGTAAAAATAATCGTATGCTAAAAAATAAATATAATATTATTTAGTGATACGAAAAACATAAAATTTGATTGCATAAGTTCAATCAAATCCTTCAAAATTAACCCATTTAAAGCTTATATGCAAACTTACCATTGAGAAAAGGAAGAACCAAAAAAATGGAGCTAAAACCTTTTAAAATTGGATATTATTAGCATTTCTTAGTTATTATTATTATTTTTTTTTTTTTTTTGTCATGGAATTCAAATTTATTTAATTGATTTATTAGAGTAGATTTATTGTATTTAATACTTTACATATATAAATATTAGTATACTGTGGCTTTTAATTTATGAAAATTAAAGAAAAACCATAAATTGACATATGGTTATATTTTACTTTAAAAAAATATCAAAAAATGATATGTTTCAAAACCCACAAGAAAATGACATGTGACAGAAATAATTTTAATTTATTAGAGTAGAAGATGATGAAAATTTTTATGTTGTAATATGAAGAAACGACATGTCTATTTAATGAAAGTACATTATTTCCATCTATACTTTCATTAAATTTGCAACATTTTATTGAAGTTATGATTAAACTTGTTGTTTTGTCATAATATAAAAAACTAGATATGGAGGAAATAAATGGAACATTTTAGACATAGTAAAATAGTATTAAAGAAAATTTTTAAATCAATAAATTATCTAAGCATAAGTTAGATAGATATATCGAAAAATTTCCTTTCTATTCGAAAACGACTTTGGGTGCCTCGAGCTTCTCCATAGGATGAATCTTTACTGCTCAAGAATCCGTTTGTGGCTTCAGGTGTATATCAAATTCCATCCGCACTCTGCATGAACAAAAACCCAAATCCAAATGAATCTTATCTCTTTACATTATTCACATCCATGATTCAAGTTACATCCTAAAGAAACTCACTCTTTTTCCAGAGGCGGCATGAGGCTCTTCCATGGGTCTATTTACATCTTGAAGATCACTCCCCCCCTCCATGATTCATAGCTTTAATTAGAAGCTTAAAGAAACTCACTCTTTGTGGCTTCTTGGCCAACAGTTTTGTTTTGGTTATTTTAGAATCCCTTGTTCCGTGCCCTAGACTTTCCTTCCATGCCTCATACTAAGGCATATTTTAAAAAGATATAACATAGTTACTCTTCTTTAGAGTAGCCTTAACAATTGGAGTAATGAACTCTAGTACAAACTCATGGACTTTTAGTGAAGATGGCCAAAATGAGTGCAAGAAGTTGATCAAAAGTCCATTGATATGTGAACCCTCATGATCCTACAACAAAAATTACATCGTTTCAACATAATGGCATTTCAATCCCGGATAATAAATAGCATTGCATTTTCATCTCTTTGCAATTTATAGTGTTTTACTTTCCTTTCTTTCAATTATAGCATTGAATGACATTGCTATGGATGATGGAATTTTAACAGGAGTAAAACGGAAGTAGAATGCTATGATAACCAAATTGATACAAGTACAACGATCTTTCTTGCATTTTTTAACCTGTGCTATGTAAAGAATTCGACACATTACCTGATCAGCCATTATCATCAAGTAACCATAACTGATCAAGGATTTGATATTGTTTTCTGGTTTCTTATGATTTAATTGATAATTCTTTGGAATGCTATGTTTTTAAAATAAGTGGAATAGTTGATTCCCAAACAATTTGAATTTCAAAAGAGAAGAAGTTGAATTAATGGGACAGGCAACAATATAGTATCATAGGGGTAGAATAGGAATTTTAGTTTAATAATATGGGTGGGAAAAAACGCTGGAAGGGACTGAAAAGATGCCACATGGCCTCTTTTATTAGAATAGAAGATGATATTGTCGTCAATTTAGGAAAAGTAAATCTTCCTTCCATGATTTGCTACAAGACCATTACCAGGTGTCAAAAAATGATAAGTGACTGCCAACTTCACTTTTCGTTTTCTTTGCCTTTTCCTTTTTCTTGGTCTTGGTCTGCCACCACACTTAACACTTTTTGTGTACAATATTCACTCTTATCGTTTACAGCTTTTGTAAGCCAATCAACCACTCTCATCTTCAATGTGTGTACAATATTAGGAATCAGGGCCTTCGGTTTTTGGTTGATCATAATATTGTTTTTCATATCTAAGGAAATACTATCTTCTTCTTTTTTCTGTTTTAGCATAAATGTTTCTTGTTTGAAGATTAGCTATATTGTCGACTACTTTGCCATCCAAACCATCAGAAAAGAAAAGTAACCCAGCTAGAATGGCGGAGGAGGTCGCTAATACTGTGGCTGGGAAAATAGTGGACTTGTTGTTTAGTGCGGCTAAACGGGAGATTGATTACATCCGAAATTACACTAAAAATGTTGACATCTTGAAGAATGAAGCTCAAAAGCTCAAGGATATGAGGGGTAGGGTTCAACAACGAATCGATGCAGCTAAAGAAAAGGGAGAAGCTCTCTTAGATGGTGTGCAGAACTGGTTGGACAAGGCAGACATTGAAATATCCAAGGTGGGAGAGTTTCTTGAAGAAGAAGCCAACGCCAAGAAGACATGCTTCAACTTACGACCTTGTGTCAATTTGAGCACACTCTACCATTACAGTAAGATGGCGATAAACATGACCTCTTTTCTTCTTCAGCATCAAGAAGATGGCAAAACTCATGAATATTGTGTCTCCATTCCCACTCCCACCCCAAGATTGGTAGACCTCTACCAACCAAAGAATCTTGATGATATCGATACCCACAAGTTGGCGTTGAGGGAAATCATTCAAGCTATCAAAGATGAGAGCATACAAATGGTTGGAATTTATGGATCAGGAGGTGTAGGGAAAACTACATTAGCCAAGGAAGTTGCTGCACAAGTGAAGAATCTATTTGCAGAGATTGTGTTTATAACTGTCTCACAGACTGTAGATGTTGAAAAGATTAAGAAGAATGTTGAAGTAGCTGCAAAGCGGATAATGATTAATAAGGAGAAGGTTCTAATCATTTTAGATGACATATGGGAACCATTAGTCCTCTCTGATCTTGGCATACCATGTGGGAAAGACCACATGAATTGCAAGATTTTGTTGACGTCTAGAAGGATGGATGTAGGTGAAGGGATGAATGTAGATAGGAATATTTGTGTAAACACTTTGAAGAAGGAAGAAGCATGGGTCCTGTTCAAACGTATAGTTGGTGATGAGAAGTTAGCGAATAATTCTAGTCTGGTGAAAATTGCAAAAGAGGTGACTGAAGAATGTGGTGGACTGCCACTCATCATTCAAGTGGTGGGAAATGCTTTAAAAAATAAAAAAATTGATACATGGGAGGGGGCACTTGACCGACTAAGAAAGCATGCCCCTCTAGAGATTGCTCCAGAGATAAGGAAGGCGTTTACTCATTTGAAGCTGAGCTATGACTTACTTGAAAGCAAAGAAGCTAAATATTGCTTCTTACTGTGTAGTTTGTTCGGAGAAGATGAAATCATAGATACGTTACGCTTAGCAGAATATGGGGTGGGTCTACGCATATTTGATAATCTGGATAGCATTAACGATGCCAAAAAAAGAGTCGAAATGGCAGTTGACACCCTCACATCCTCTTCCTTGTTATTGCTTGAGCCGGGAGACAAAGTAAAAATGCATGATGTTGTGCGTGATGTGGCTTTGTTAGTAACTTCTTCTTCTGAAGGTGAAGAGAAGGAGAAGTTTTTAGTGGAGGCTGGAAAAGATTTGACAGAATGGCAACCAAGAAACAGAACCTCAGAAAGCTACACCAAGATCTCACTCATGGATAATAGAATTCATAAGCTTCCAGATCATGAGCTTCATTTCCCACTCCTTGATACTTTCCTTATACAAAGCAATGGTCTTTCCATTATTCCTGATGATTTCTTTCGAGGCATGAAAGAAGTTATAGTTTTAGATATGGCTTTTAATCACATCAAATCCCTCCCACAATCACTGAAGCTGCTCACAAAACTCATCATGCTCGATCTAAGTTTCAATAGATCTCTCAATGAAATTTGTATAGTTGGGGAGCTAAAAGACCTTGAGATTCTAAAGGTTAGAGCTACCGGAATTAAAGTGATTCCCGAAGAGATTGGTCAATTGACCAACTTAAGGGTGTTGGATGCGGGGGAATGTGATGGCTTATCTGATGTAACAGTTGGTGTCATATTAAAGCTCACTTGGTTGGAAGAGTTGTATATTGGAACCGATGCCAAGAATGCAGTGTCTCGCCTTGGTCTTCTGGAAATAAGTAAACTGAAATCGTTCAGAGCTCTGCATTTAAAAATGGATTCAGATGCTTGTCATCTTTTTCCTCAAGGTACCTACTTGGAAACGTTGCAAGAATTCTTTTTTCAATTTATCCAAAAGAATACTTTGATTAGGAGAATATTTTTGCGAATTGATCCGGAACCATCAAAATCATATTTAAAACGTCGACTACACATTGAAAGTTCTAAGTTCCCATTCAAGATGCCAATCAAGAAACTGTTTCAGGTAAGTGATGGTATGGTACTAAAGAGGATAAAAGATTTGGATAACATCATACCAGACCTTTATGGAGAGAGTACTATTGATGAATTAAAGTCTATTGAATTGGAGGAATGTGACAAAGTTTCATGCTTGGTGAAGACAACGGATGAGGATGAGGATGCAACACAAACTTTTGTTGCACCCAATGACCTGATGCTTGGTCAAAGGAAAACATCAAAGGAAAAGTATTTCTCCCAAGTGGAAGACATCCATCTGGATCACCTTGATAACTTGAAGCTTCTTTTTGATTGTTCATTTCAATATATAAGCCTGTGTAATCTACAAGTCATTAAAATTGCATATTGTGATTCCTTGTTGACCGTATTCCCATTAAGAGTAGCACAAGGGCTTTCCAATCTGAAACGTTTAGAGATTTTGAGTTGTGACAGTTTGATGGTTGTGATTTCTGGTGGAGATGAGCAAACAACTCATAATGACATTGAGTTCCCTAGACTTACCCATATTTCCCTTAAAATTTTGCCCAAACTAAAGAGCTTCTACTCTGGGGATTCTATAGTCAAATATTCTTCTTTGGAGTTTATCGAGGTGGAAGATTGTCTTAGCATGAAGAGATGGGGTTATGGAGTCCACGATATGCCCAATGGAAAATTTGTCATGAAGTGAATATTAATTTATTCGGTTAATGATCTTTTCACACCATGAGAGGTATGAAAAGACGAGCATCCCACCCAATATACAGCCAAGGAGACGGAGATCAATTTATATGTTGCAAAGACTCATATTTCTTCTTTTTTCCCCCCTCAAGATTTCATGCTCTACCTAAGATTAACTCATAATCATACAAAATCAAGGTTTGTTGTAGTTCTGATGCTTCCAAATTTAACATTGTGGCTCAAACAACCAATGGTGTTCAAAGAGTGAATTACTTGAAGAATATTTAGAATTGCAAAAAACAGAGTGGTTCTATGTCATCATCTTCCTCTTCTTCTCCATCAGCAATCTCATCTTCCCAACTCCCAAGTCTCATCATCATCATCCTCATCCTCATCCTCAAAGATTTAATATTGAATTCTTATGGCTCGCTCAATTTTGCTTTCTGGTTTCAATAGAGAGAAGCAAAGAGGAGACACTATGCTCTTTAGCTTTATTTTCCCTCATAATATCGCCATGGCAGTTCATCAAACAGTTGGTAAGCATCAACATTTTATCATTTACCAATTAGCACAATTCCCAAATCATAACGGATATGATTTATTCTATTAAACAAAGGAACACCACACAAATTTAACGCACCCAAGTCAGAGACTGGGTAGTCGGCGTTGGGGTTTTGATCAAATTCCAGCAAAATATCTTCAAATTGAACTCTGGATGACGACAAAAACCTATAAAATCTCCCTTTTTTAAAACCAGCAAAAAGAAAAAATGATATTTCTTGGACTTTGTGAAATATAGGGCTTTTTTATTGTCTTGGATTGTCTTTCTCATCCTCAAATTCATGAACGATATTGTTTTTCCTTTCAATTGTCTCTATATAACATAAAGAATTATCTTTATAATCTCGGAACCATTTCTATTTTTCCCCAAAATAGTTTAAAACATTGGGTAAACAGTGTTTCATCTCTAACTTTATCTTATTTTTACCCTTAAAAATATATTCTATTCTTCTAACTTATATAAATTATCAAACACCCTCCTTCTATTAATTTGGTTTTAACAAATATATAATCTATATTTTTTTCATTACGATAATATTAATAAATAAGATTATATTTATAACACTTAAGTATAAGGTTTTTGTAAAATACATTATCGTGTTTTAAAATTTCAATGTGTATTTAAGTTTTAATATGAATTTGATAAACAAAAAACAAACTTTATATTTATAATTAATTAATATAATTTAATATATAACACAATATTATAAATATTAAATATTACATTTAAATTATAATTATTAGATAAAAAAACCAAAAATGTATAAATATATAAAAAAAAGAGATTAAAATGGACAGTTCAATGTTCATCTCTATTTTAGGGGAAATCAATAGTATAACACCATATTTTGTGTTATACTATTCATTTCTCCCAAAATGAGAGAATAAATGCGGTAGGTTGGAGAGAAATTGGGGAGGAAATGGGGAAAATAATGGAAAATGGAAGTGGGTTGGAGATGCTTTTATGATTCTAAAGGTTGATTATTTATTTTTATAATTAATATATTATACAAATAGTTTGGTATGTCAAAGAGGACATCAAAATCCCGCATCATCTTTGTTAGTATAAATGTCAAAATCATATTCTAAACATGATGATTTTTTGATTAATCACGAGCTTAAGAATGTTGTCGATTTATTCGAACCAGAAGAGATATGTTTAAAATACTTCTTTTACGTTATACTAATTTACTTAATATGTTGTTGCGTTACTTTTCTTTGAATAATTTTATTATGTACTACAGGTTAATAAGTTCATCATTCTTGGAACCAGTTATGGGATTCAACAAGACATTATTGTTCTATATTGCATGTACCAATTATGGTTGGAAAGTGACTGAAAAGGTTGTGTTTAATGGTGAAAAAGGTGGTGATGGTGTAGTTTATGAATGTTTGGCAATGACATTAAATAAGAGTCAAGGGCCTTCGTTATCTTAGATTGGTATCTATCTTAAAGATCTTGTTTTTTCTCATAGACAATTGTATGTTGTCTTATTTAGAGTTCAAGGTACGGATGTCAACGGGGGAAAACGGGACGGGGATTGCATCTCTCGCCCCCACCCCAAAAATTCACCCATTCCCCCACCCCCAAAATTTACCCATTCCACCACCCCCGAAATTTCCAGCCTCCTTACCCTCACCCCCGTCCCCGAATTCATGGATTACCCTCGCCCCCGCCCCCATTTCCCCGTCCCGATTGATTTTGAGACATTTTTATTGAGCTAAAAGAAGTTGTTTTTTGGGCTTAAAGAAACTATTTTTTGGGATTAAAAATAGCTACTTATAACTAGAGATGGCAAAAGAACCTGTACCCGATGGGTACCCGAAACCCTAACTCGAGTTGATCGGGTTAATCCCCGATTTGAGCGAGGATGGGTATTACCCGAATGTAAAAAGCAGGGATGGGGATGGGGATGGTTCTACCTGTCGGGTACCTATACCTATACCCGAAACTGACCTCGATGAGTACTCGATATATATATATATATATATATATATATATATATATATATATATATATATATATAACATCCCAAAATTCAAGGCCAAAAATTTCATCTTAAATAAGTTATTATAAAACCAACAGTATAAGAAAACATCCATAATATTATGACATATCAAAACCAAAGTAGAAATAATCAAAACGTGTTATCATGAAACAATATCATAGTGTAATCCCAAAGATCTCAGGTGCGGAAACCCATAGTGTGATGCGTTGCGATCGAGCCGACTCCTGTCCTTCAAAAACGAAGTACCTGAAACCAAAACTAAAAACCGTAAGCATGAAGCTTAGTGAGTTCCTCCATCATACCACATACCATACAACCACGAAGCATACATACTGCCGGGCAATTCTAGGTTGCCCGACCTACCCATGTCAAGTCATTCTGGGGTGCTGACTACCCGTGTCAAGCCATTTTGGGGTGCTGACTACCCGTGTCAGGCCATTTTGGGGTGCCTACCTACCCTCCGGTCTATCTCACCCGACCACGTAGATTATTTCACCCCCTACTACTATCACATAATAACATATCATAAACATGTTGTCAGACATATATGGGGTGTCCGACCTACCCTTCGATCCTAACAACCGATTAGGGATGAGATTTAGAACCGGAAAACCGGATCGGAACTGGAATCGGACCGGAACCGGAACTGTTAGAACCGGAATATATAGAACCGTTTCTGGTTCTGGGTTTAAAAATTGGCTTTATCCGGGTTCCGGGTAATCCGGGTTTGGGTCCATCGGGTCCGGGTAAACCGTGTCTAAAAACCAGAACCGATGTTTGGAACCGGAACCACTTTTAGGGGCGGAACCGGTTTTTGTGAAACGTTTAAAAGATGCATATCTCATCCGTTTCAACTTCGATTGACATGCGGTTTTTTCCAACATGTAGTTTAGAGTTTGTACATGATTTTAGACTATAAATTTGTTATTTTTAGTATTATATTCATTGACTTACAGTCCTCCAAAATCGAGATATCAAAGCTGGAAGTTTTTATTTTTTCAGTTTTTTTATTCGGTGAAAGTTTTAAAACATGCATATCTAATTTTTTTTGAAGTCGGATTGACATGTGGTTTTTTTCAACTTGTAGTTTACAGTTTGTACATGAGTTTAGAATATAATTTTGTCATTTTTGGTTTAACATTCAATGATTTACAGCCTCCGAAGTGGGGATATCAAAACTGAAAATTTTCAACTTTTCAGCTGTTTGTTTTTGTACTTTGTATTATGTGAAAATGTTAACACATGAAAATCTCATTCGTTTAAAGTCGGATTGACATGCGGTTATTTCCAGAGTGTATTTTAGAGTTTGTACATGATTTTAGACTATAATTTTGTTAATTTTGGTTTCATATTCAATGAGTTACAATCACCCAAAGTCGGATATAAATATGAAAATTTTCAAAGTTCAACCCACTAAGTAGTAAGTAATTACCAAAAAATTCCGGTTTTTCCGGGTTTTCCGGTTCTAAATCCACTTTATCCGGTTCCAACCAACCCACTTTGATGTTTTCGGGTTTTCCGGTTATAGACCCACTTTACCCGGAATCGAACCGGAACCGGTTCCTATATACCGGTCCGGTTTCTAGTTCTACAAAATCCCGTTAACCGGTTTCGGGTTTTCTAGGTCCGGGTCCATCCGATCCGGGTTTGGACCCACTTTCATCCCTACAACCGATCGGGGGACTATTCCCCTCCTACTACCGCTATCACAGTGAACATAACATACTGGCACATAGAACACATCATGTAATAGCAAACCAGAAAATTATCACAAAGACAATCATCTCATCTGTAATCAACTACTAGTGGGTCGGACTTGGTGCCTTAGACCCACTTCTACTGGAAGGTAATTCACCTCACACTGCTGAAGTCTTGTAGACACAATCCTAGCTGCTGGATGACAGATTCTCGATCTGTCAATATCAAACATCACCCAATTAAGAATTAGGTTCCAACACATGTCCATAAGTCCATGTTTGGATAAAAGACTGCTTTACCCCTATCTTGGCTTGATTTAAGCCCAATGCCCAATCCAAAGGCCCAAAAGTTAACTATGGGTCAAAGCCCAACACATGGCCTAATTTTCCAAATTGGGCCCAAACCTTTATAAGGTCTCACCATAAGGCCCAACCATTTAGTCCAGTCCAACATTCAACATACTAATGGCCCAATATCACATAATCATAAACGCCAAAACTATGGCCCATCTATGGCCCAATTTTCCAAATTGGGCCCAACTCCTCATATGGGCCTTACCACAAAGCCCATTAATTATTCTAGTCCATTTGTTTGATCTTAGATGGCCCATTAATAACCCAATCATCAAGGCCCAATAGAAAGGCCCAACCATAAACCCAAGTGAAATTAGGGTTTCATATGAAATGACAATTAGGGTTAAGTGTTTCTCACCTAATCCATTAAGTCCATCACTTTTCTAAAT